GAATATGCAAATACGCCTCCGTTAAGTCTATGGATGTCATGAAGTCTCCCTTCCTGATGCTGGCTAGGATAGACTGGAGCGTTTGCATCTTGAACTTCCTGTAAGTCAGGTAGGAATTCAGTTTTTTAAAATCCAATATTGCTCTCCAGCCGCCTGAAGACTTTGGAACTACAAAAAGATTGGAATAAAAACCCCGTCCCCTCTGTTCCTCCGGAACTGGCTCTATGGCGTTTATTTGTAACAAATGGGAAATGGCCTCTGACATGAGACCCGCTATGATTGCGTTCTTGGGGGTAGGACAAGACCGGAAATGTTCTGGAGGGCTGGACAAGAATTCCAGGGCTAGACCGTGAGTGATGGTGTTTAACACCCAGGAGTCTGTGGTGGTGGCTTCCCATATGCTGGCGAAGAGGGACAGTCTGCCACCTATGGGAGAAGCATCCCTGGAGTCACTTGGTCCTTCTAAAAGGACGTCCTCCTGAACCTCAAAAGGGCCGCTTGGCCTGGAATTGCGTTCTGGCCCTGGGTGCAGAATGGTCCTGAGGACGATCTGGTCTCGGGGGAAAGGAACGAGGGGTTTGAGGCCAGTCCCAAGTGGAAGCCGAACGAAAGGACTGTCTGCGAAAGTATTGGTGGGACCGCCTATCCGCTCTCCTATTCATGTGTATCATGACTTTGCGTTTGTCCTTACCCTCTACTAAATAAGGGTTGAGGGTCTCACCGAAAAGCTGGCCTCCACTGTAAGGAGCGGTAGCCAAACACCACTTAGACTTCAAGTCCGCTCGCCACTGTTTGAGCCAGAGAAGCCTACGGCAGAGACATCTGCGGCTATGGCTCTTGAGGAATACCTGGTGGCGTGAAGAGAAGCGTCCGCCATGTATTGTGATGTTGCCACCAACTTACCCAGGTTCTGATGTGCGCGAACCTGGTCTGGGGGAACCATATCCTGAAGTTCGCGGAGCCATATGATGGAGGCCAGGGCAAAGAAGGCTAGGGATGTAGACGCCTTCACCGACCACGCCGAAGCCTGATGGGACCTGCGCAAGGCAGATTCAAATCTCCTATCCTCCGCTTTCAGAGCTTCGGCCATGTCCCCTGGAACGGTAGGATTAGAGAACAAAGAATTTAACGATTGATCCACTAGAGGAACCTCTAGTAAAGAAGAGAAGGAAGGAGCCACATTAAAGAGCTTTTTCTCCGATACACCCGGTGGGGGGAGAGAGCCCAGGTTTGCCCACTGCTTCTGGACCGTGTTGCGAAAGATGGGCGGGCAGGGAATATGTTTCTGTGCGACCACCAATTCAGAGTACAATGGGTTTGGGTCCTGGGAGGTAGAAGGAGCTGGCTGGGACTCCTGTTCCGGGGTGATGTTTGCTGAGGTGCATGCCTTAAGAAGAAGCGAACCAAACAGTGACTGGTCGAACAATCCAGTGAGCGGCGACGGATCCCAAGAAGAAGCCTCCTCATTGTCTGACAGAAGTAATCTCGACGGCTCAAAGTCTTCAGAGTCTGATTCCTTGTCCTGAGAGGATCTGATCGGGGAGTCTGAATGAAAAAATGCAGGGGCCTCTGTCTGAGGGAATGACCTTAGTGGAACTGAGGGTTCCTGTCGGGGCCGCTGGTAGGCGGAAGAGGCCATGAACTGGGCGAAGGCCTGAGCCATCATTGTCTGAAATTGATCAGGCCACGCTGCCTGTGCCTCAGTGGGACGGAGCCCCACTGCGGTGGCCGTAAAAGTGGACTCCGCCCAATTGCACCGTGACTGGAGGGGAAACCCTCCGCGGTTCCAGACCCTGGCTAGGGAAAATGGATTCCATCTGTATGATCTCCCTTTGAGGAGACCAAGCACGTGGGGCTAGATTAGAGGGGGCTAGCTGCAGCTCGAACAGTGACATCACAGGTGGAGCAGGAGTGTTAATGTCTATCTCACCTGGAGTCAGTTTTCGTGCCTTGGAGAATTCCTTCTCCAAGGCCTGATGGCATCTACTGGCCTCCTTCCCAGCTGCTTTCGCGGGCTTCTTACTGGACTGAGCCCTGGCCTTCGCCTTGAGCCTTTCCGCCACTTCCATTGTGGAAGACCTGTGTTTCTTTCTGGCGGGGGAGTCTGGAATGCCCTGTGCAGACTGAGGAACCAAATTATCTGCCATTTCAGTGGGATATCCCAATGGAAGGCCAGGAGGGATCCCGCAACGTGGAGCAGAATAAATTATAAGGGAAAACCATGTGTCCAAGCCTGGACCCAGGTAGCTCCAACTACTACTCCAATAATTGGCTGACAAGGACTTAGCTGTTGTCAGCGAGGCCAATCGTGGTGGTACAGTGCCCGCACGGTCTACAGATGACCGCCTGACTCGGTCTCCCCCCCAGGGGAAAACTCCCTGTATGTGCAGGCCTGACTGCTTAGGGTGGGGGGATGGGGGTGTAAGATCAGGCAATAAGACCCCACAGGGGCGATATTGCCCTCCCCATTGAAATCACAACGGCCGCAGGATGATGAAATGCAGTAAGGGCCCAAACTGACAGAAGGGTACAGGCCAGAAATTCGTATGTAGTCCTGAATGCAGAGTCAGAAGATAGCCAGGGCCCCGTCAGAAAGGATGCCTCCCGTGACGTCCTTGGCCATTGAGTCTAAAGGGCCGGTTGGAGAAAGGCTCAAACGGCGGAATTCGGCGCTGCTGTAAGCTGCCGAATCAGGCAATCGGCCCAAAGGGAGACAGACGACTCTATGAGAGATCGCCTGACGACGAGGGAAAGCGTTGAGGGAAAAAGCCAAAATAAGGCTGTGACAGCTCCAGCGAGAAGTCGCAACTTCAATTAAACAGCTGGTGCAATTTGAGAGGCTCGGAAGGCTTGCGTGGAGGCAAGCCGTCCCCGAAGGTCAGGAGACTGCAGTCTGCAGGGAAACCCTGAAGTCTGTAGAAATTTCCTTCAGCACAAGGTGAAATTGACCAGTTCAATTTGAAAGGGAAAGTAAGCCAGATTAAATCAAGTTATGTCCAAAATAAGTAATGAAGGAGGAAAATCCATGAGTGGGAAGAATACGACCTGCTGCTAATTCTGGAAAGGAACACAATTTTACGCGTCTGCTGAGCAAGAGACTAAGTCGTAAACTGGGGTGCTCTAGCCCAGCAGGAGACGTGGCAACTTTCCAGACTTAGTCTAATTTGAGCAGGAGGATTAAGACAACCCATTTGTGGATTCTCCATCCATCATGCTGGAGAATTATATTTATTACATAAAATGACATCTTCTACATAAAAGAACTATACATTTCCATTTCACAACCTTCATGTCGATTAGAAATTATGGATGTAGTTACAAAAAAATTATGATTCCATGGCAAGAGGTTGGAAGCATCAATTTATTACATAAACAGCTCATCAATATAAAAAACAAATCAAATGTTAGTTGAGATTGGCAGTAAAAATAACTTCTCAAAATTTTATTAAGAAATATTAGAATTATTTTCTTTTTTCTAGACATAACAAAAACAAGCCATGATAAGCAAGTTGAAGAATCTGAAGTTATTGATAACCCTCCAAAAATTGTATTTTTATTTTGCAAGTTATTTCTGTATTGCTTTTTGTCAACAAACCTGTTTCTGAAACATAAATCTTAACGTCTTTTTATATCTAGGTCAGTGATGGCGAACCTTTTAGAGACTGAGTGCCCAAACTGCAACCCAAAACCCACTTATGCATTGTCGGGTGCCGGGTGAGTGTGGCCCATTGGCTGGGTGTGGGCAAATGGAAGGGTGTGGCCCATTGGGTGAGTGTGGCTGCGGTGGTAACGGCAGACTGGGTGGAACTAAAAAGTTCAATCAATCAATTCCAACTTTGCAAGACCTTTTTTTTCCCCGCTAGAAGTTGAAATTGACTGATTGAACCTTTTTTTTTTTGCACATGGCAGCGGAGGCCTAAAGCGAAAAGGTTTTATAAAACCCAGCTGAAGGCCTAGGACTGGGGCGACGGTGCACGTGCCCACAGAGAGGGCTCTGAGTGCCGCCTCTGGCACCTGTGCCATAGGTTCGCCACCACTGCCTTACCCTATCCCGAATCCCTTATTCCCACCCCTTCCCATACCCGTACTGACCCTATCCTTTCCCTACCTGCATAAAATCTAATAAAATATTTATTTAAAAAACCCCTTAATGTATGAGTGCAATTGAGTGGCATGGAGGCCTAGTGCTGAAGACACTCATCTTCCACTTGGAAGGTTGAGGGTTCAATCCTAGGTAGATGCTTCTCTCCTAGAGTGCAAAGAAAAAATATCTGCTGCAAACTCCTTCTGTATGGCGTCAGGAAGGGCATCCAGCCAGTAAACACTCCATCCAGTCGCCCCAACTCTACCCTGAATTAAGGGATTACAGGGTCGTAAAAAGAGTTTAATATATCAGTGCAACTGACCTGCTCCAAATGGCCTTTTCCATAAAGACTCCCTTATGTAACATTCAGTAATACATGCGGCAAGGGAAATAATGCAGTCCTTTCAAACCAGAATTCACACTCACGCAAAGTGCCACATTATTTCCATGCAAGTCTTACACTAGATTTCTCTTCAACATTTCCCAGAACCATCACAAATCCCTTTGATCAAAAATTATACACATTTGTCAAAAAAGGTCAGTGTAAATATAAGACGGTGAAATCTTCTAACACTCACTTGAATCATTTATTTATATACATCTCTTGATTTATCAGTAACACTGTCCTTAAATGTCTTTATTTAGAATGCAACTCAAAGATACTGAGGGGCATGTTTCAAAAACATATTCAATAAAATTGAAGTACTTTTATATTTCTCCAAATGCAAAAAATATTTACCTTGGTAAACACATTAGAAATGGCCATCTTTATGAGGAAAGGCCTTTGCCATATAGAGTTTATTTTTGTAGTACCAAAAATTACATTTTTATCTTGCCTTTTAAATTGGATTGCCTCTTAGTTCTAATTCAGGCCTTCATACCCAAAAATGAACACAGCAGAAAAGATCCTTTTTACCTGCATTGAAGCCCCTTCTACTCTCGCTATACAAGCCACTCTATCAAGGAAAGTGACAGTCACAGGAACAGCAACAAAAAAACCTTTCAAAAAGGCTTTAATATACTTTCTCCCGAAGCCTTGCATTTGTGCCATAATCTGAAAGATAAAAAAAAAACACAATATAAATTGGACTTCAGAACTGACAGATAATTTTTAAAAATATTGAATGAAAAAATATAATAACAGTGATACCAAATGTGTGGGCTGAATTAACTTTACCTCCTTCCAACTCTTGGTTCATTTGTAGCTATTCATGTCTTGGTATATTATCAGAATGTTTACCATTCTGTAAAGCACAGAATGGGCCAGGGAGAAGTAAAATGAGTGCTTTCAATTCATTATTTTTGTGTTTGCCAGTTGACTGCTGCCTAAAAAGTTTCCTTTTGAGAAAAAAGGAAACAGATAAAAATTGCCTTTCCTTCCTTAAACCAAAATTTTATCTTCATCACTTATGCAGTTGGAAGTACCCTATTCATTTTATGCTACTCCACACAATCTCATCAAATAATATATGAAAAATAATTTATAAAATGATGAAATAAAGAGATGATCTTAATCAGATTTCTAAAATAATCATTTCAAACAAACACAAGGCGGCCACAGAAGAAGTATGGTTACATCATGGGGAGAGAAGTTGCTATTGAACTAAGTTATCTTAAATTAAGACAAAACAGTAGGAGGAGAGGGAGAGGGAAAGATAAGTCAGAAAAATCAAAAAGACTGGAGAAGAGAAAAGGAGAAGATCTGCGGAGGAGAGAGGAGAATCAGCTATGGGGCAGAGAGCTGACTGAGGGCAGCGCAACAACCGGCAGAGAGAAGAGGCGAGCCGGCGAGATAGTGGAGCAGGCAGGTGATCCAGCCAGGGAGAGAAGAGGAGAGCTTACTATGGACCACCTAGGCAGCCCCATTTGCTGAAGGAAGCAGAACACCAGCACAATGGACCAGCAAACAGGAGCCACGTGGCTGCAGAGCTATTGGTGGGAGGGGGAGTGGAACACTGCAGCACAGTAGACCGGGAACTGTAAACGACAGTAGACCAGGGACTGCGAATGACAGTAGACCAGAGACTGCGAATGACATGACCAAGGACTACGAACGACAGTAGATCAGGGACTGCAAACAGCAGTAAACCAAGGACTCTGAACTACAGTACACCAGGGACTACGAACGACAGTAGACCGGGGACTGAGAACGGCAGTAGACCGGGGACTGCGAATGGCAGTAGATCGGGGACAGCGAACAGCAATAGACTGGGGAATGCAAAGGCCAGTAAATCAGGGATTGCAAATGGCAGTAGACCGGAGACTGCGAACAACAGTAGACTGGAGACTGTGAACGGCAGTAGACCTCGGACTGCAAACAGCAGTAGACCCAAGACTGAGAACGGCAGTAGACCAGGACTGTGAACAACAGTAGATCGGGGACAGCAAACGGCAGTAGACTGGGGAATGCAAACAACAGTACACTGCGGACTGCGAAAGGCAACCGCACAGCAGACTCTTGGAAAAAGGAACTGATGCTATTGTGATCTGCAAAACATAGGACAAAAAAAAAA